TAAAAATAGTTTAAAGATATTGTATGTTGATTGCAGCGTTGGCTCAGTGGTAGCGCACTTGCCTATAAAACAATGGATCCGTAGTTCAAACTCTACCTCCGGGCAAGTTTTGCGACATCGGTTTGTTTTTTGTTTTTTCTCAGGTGCTCCGTAATAAGACCGTAAGGAATGCAATAGGTATTTTTCCGATGTGTCGAAAAAAATAACCAACGAAAAAATTAACTATCGGATCGATTTTTGCGCCTAGTACTAAAGCATTACTAACACTGCTTATTTATTACACGTATATACATGTACTATATGCTTTGATGTTTTAATGTATAATATGCCTAACTATACATTTATTACTGTGACAAAATATAGGATTAATAATAGGATGAATAGACTAAAGCTAACAGTAGTCTTCAAAAGCTTATTGAGCTTCTGAACAAATTGTAAATCCTTATGTTCCATTTGATCTTGTTCTGTGTTCTGAATAAGTAGTCATGGTTGGAAGTAAAATTGTTTATAATGTGTAAGCTCCTGCACTATGGAGCCATCATGAAGAAAATTCTTGGCTTTATTGATAAATGCTACAACATATTTTCCCTTAACGTAAAGTTAATTAAAATGTCACTCTTCAAAAATTTTATAAATCCAAGACTTTTACAGAGAAAGAAAATGAAAGAGCCTGAAACGTATCTTTAGAAGTTATTTCCTGTTTCTTTAAATTTATAAACAATTTTACTGATTAAATAACTTAATTTTTAAATACAAATTTTTATATTTTTTCCAACCCCTCAGAAGTTTTTTTTTTCTGATTAAATAATATAACAAAGCACTTTATACAAAAATATTGAAAAAATAAAAGCCTATGCTTCTCGTTTTATATAATATACAATATACAATATAAACAGAAAGAAACTCAAAGATGATAAGACTACTTCTACAACCCTTAAACAACATTTTTTTTAATTTATCATGGAGAAATTTTATTGGGCACATTAAATCAAAAATATCATCTACAAAGGTGTTTTATATGAATCTTCCCCATTTCTTGATTTCTACTGAACAAAAAACTTTACTTTAGTCTAATTCACAGTCATCTCACTAACGTGAAAAAACCTGAAAAATCAAAAATTAAAAAAACTAAATTTTAGTTATTTAATTTTTGATTTTTCATTCCGTTACATGATGTTCCATTTAAATGGTTTTTTTAATAGGTTTGAATCGATTTTTCATTTGATTTTCATAACATGATATTCCATTTAAATGGAATATCGAATATATGAAACAACAAGCTGCATATTGTAAATTTGTAAAAATGTTTGTAAAATTATTTGTAAAAAATGATTGTAATAAAAAAGAAAAAAAGAAAAATGGAAAAAAAGAAGAAAAAAAGAATTTTTTTTTTTTTTTTTTTTTTCTTTTTTTTTTTTAAAAGAAAAAAAAAATATTAATAAAAAAATAAAAATATTATTAGTAGAAATAGTAATTACAAAGCTAATTACAAAATTTTTTCCCCTAAATTTACTTAAATTAACTTTTTACATAGACATAGATATAAGCCAAATAGCGCTGTTTAGAGAATCTGCGAAAAGATACTTTTGATCTTATATGAGTAGGTACGCGCATTTACGTCATTTACGGAACCGATTTTTGTGATAAAATCTTGTGACTCGTTTTTTTCACTTTTTTTTAGGCAGCGTGGGGTAGACGTAGTTTTGTGGAGTTTCTTTTTAGAAACATATATACACATAGATACTTCTTGGAAAGAAGAGAAGCTGATCTTTATTTTTTTCAAACTTTTATGCATGGTTACTAAACTTTTTAACGGATTATTTTGCTCCTGAATATTTGGTTGATGTTTTCACATAAATTTGTAGTCGAAGGCATGAAGTTTCCGCTTTTTTGATTGTTCAGCCACCTTTATACATGTATTTTCTATTTATGTGCCAAATTTCAACGAAAAATATTAGGGAGCAGATATGTAACAAGGTGCTTTTTTAAATATACTGCTTTTTTGAAGTAGGGTTAGACTAACGTTTTTAGTGGTGTTTATTTTTTTAGAAACATATATAAACAAAAAGTATATTTGGAAAGAAGAAAGGTTAGGCTTGATTTTTATAGTACTTTTATTTATAACCACTAAACTTTTTTATGGTTAGTTTTGCTAAAAACTTTCATGAAAATTTCATTGATGTTCTCACATTAAGTATCAAAGGAATGAAGTTTCCGCTTTTTTTGTTATTCAGGAACTTTTTTGCATGCATTTTCTTTGTACATGCCAAATTTCAGCCAAAAATATTAGGGAGCAGATAGTATAAGAAGTGTAGGACTTTTGGTACCTAAATTCGGTTTTTTTTGTTTTTGTTTTTGTTTTATCGGTAAGAGAAATACGGGGAGGATAGGGGGGTGGCGAATGGTTAACAAAAAAATTCTTACTACATTGTATTATTTAATTTTTAATATTAGATTATTTTAATAAATAAAAAATGGTAAAAGTCATAACAAAGAAGACTTCAAAAAGTAAGTTAATTTGTTTTTCATGATAATAACAAAGTTTGTTTACATCATCATGATGTAAACAAAGATTAAGTTATACCAATGAGTAAGATTATAAGTTATACCAATGATATACCAAAGTAAGATTATAAGTTATACCAAAGTAAGATTATAAGTTATACCAATGATAGTATATATTAAAAAAGATTAGGATTTAAGATTCAACCGTTACTTTGGAATATTTTATTAACTAATAGTATCAGATGCCAATGTTGTTAATACACCATATATATAAAAATATACAAATGACATTATTATACTTTAAAGTAAAACTTTATTGGCTTAAGCCAATACAGTTTTTGACAAAATATTTTTAGAATAATATTATTAATGATAATTTTAAAATAACATTATTATTTTTTTAGAATAATATTATGATTTTATTGATATTTTAAGAATAATATTATTATTGATATTTTAAAATAATATTATTATTGATATTTTTATATGAATAAGCTTATTATTAATAAGCTTATTTTTGTAAAATTATAAAGATACTTTTACAATAATATGTTTATTCTTATAAAAGTATCTTGTTAGTGTTTTTCTTATATACAGTAATATAATTTTAAAATACAGTAATATAATTTATGTTTTTTATTATTTTTTTTATTGCTTTTTTTTTAGTTACATAGGTTGTTGTACGTAAAGCAGAACTGATTTGATAACTGTTATTTTTAGACTGTTGACAATTTCAAGATGTTTTTTTTTTTTGATTATATAACTTTTTTGTTATCTTTAGGCCAATTTGCACAGACTACAGCTGGTAAGTTATTATAGCATAACTTTAATTAACCATTAAAGAAATATAAATAAATATGCATTTCTTACTTATTTATTTATTACTTGTCGTGTATGGATTTCCCATTTGCTGCAATAATAATTTTTTAATTTTAGTATCTACCTCTTGTACTACACCTGGTAAGTTACATAACTCTTAGTTTTTAATTTGCAAACTTTACAATATGTTTAAGTTTAGTTCCTTAGTCAGCTGCTGCAACTAGTAATTTAAAAAAATAATAAATATAATATGCATTTCTCGTTAATTGCAATATTGATTTTTTGTTACAACTTTGTAATTTTAGTATCTACCTCTTGTGCTACACCTGGTAAGTTAAACAACTATTAGTTTTTAATGTGCAAACTTTATAATATGTTTAACTTTAGTTCCTTCGTCATCTTTTGCAACTAGTAATTTAATAAACTATTACATTTATTATGTATATAAATTTCTTGTTATTTGCAATATTGATTTTTTTTTACATTTTTGTAATTTTATTTTTAAATAGTTAGTATAATAATTAAGTCAAGTTTTGTGGCTTGCAAATAGGTACAGCAAGTTTTGTGGCTTGCAAATAGGTACAGAAAGTTTTGTGGCTTGCAAATAAGTACCGCAAGTTTTATGGCTTGCAAATGTGTACCGCAAGTTTTGTGGCTTGCAAATAAGTACCGCAAGTTTTGTGGCTTGCAAATAGGTATAGCAAGTCTTGTGGCTTGCAAAAAAAAAATAGACGGCTCTGGCTTACCTTCACGTGGTGTCTATTGTTAAAAATGATTTATTTAGTTGCATTGGAACTTAATTTAAATTATTTACTAAAAGCCAAGACATAAATTAATTACTATGTTTCGAAACATTTGTTTTTTTTTTGTTTGTTTTTTATAAGGTTGGTTGGTTAAATATGATCATTTAAATGAGAAAATGTATACTCGTGCAATCTGGTAAAACAATTCTGTATTGTGCTTTCTTTTTTTAATAATTGCATGCGAAAATGTTGAAAATATCATTTCTATGTGTTTTCTTTTTTACGTTGGTTGAGGGGAAGGGGAAAAACCATCCCTCTCCTCAAATTGTACATCACTAATGTATGTTCTATAGAAAAAAAATATTGCTTCATGTAATACAACAATATTTTCAATACTAATGTATGTTGTATAGTTATAAAAGATTATTTTTTCTTTTTAACAATACATTTGATTATTGAAATAAAGATGACGTTATTTTTTGTCAGGTGGGGGGGGGGGGGGGGGAGTGGTGGTGCATTAGACTTCCTTTATTTAAAGTCAATGTGTACATCAATAATATATGTTGAATAGTAATAAAATATTATTTTTACTTGTTAACATTTAGTTATTGTAATAAAGATTTAATTATTTTTATTTTTTGTTATGCGTTGGGGCGGGGGCGGGGGCGGGGGCGGGGGGCGGTGCAACATACGCCCTTCCCTAAAGTTAGTGTGCACATTACTAATGTATGTTGTATAGTAAAAAAATATATTTTTACTTTTTAACAAAATATTTAATTACTGTTATAAAGATTAAATTATTTATTAGAATGTATGATTATTGTATTAGGGTGTTATAACATCATAACCACATCTACGGCCAACTCTAAGATCACCTTATTTTGTTTGGCAGTGTTCTGGAATCAAGTTATGGCAATATTTTATGTATAAAATCTAACAAAACATTAAAAAAGTGCTTATTTTTGAAAACTTGTATTTTCTTAAGGGTTAGATGTTGTTACATTACCCCCTCTGGCTCCCAAGATACACCCTACGTCCAGGCACCTATATGAACTTGTAGCCAATTAGTGCAACTATCTTTTGATACCAAGATATAGGTATTTGGATAAAAATTGACAAAGTTATAATAATTTAAGTGAAAAAAATAATTATTTTGACCACAGTTTCTTCAACAATTCCATATATCTTAAATTTGGTACTAAAAACGTTATAACTTTTTTTAGAATTGTTCGTTTTTAATAATTTTTTCACCATTAAAATACTGTATTAAAGGCCTTTCTAATGATATATAACATTCTACTATATGATTTATTTAAAAATTTCAGTGCGCGTACCTAATATGAGTAACGTTATTTACATGTTTAACACTTCTATACCTAAGTGCTACAAATGCTTTAGTTGAAGGGTTTTAGAGTATATTATATAACACATCTAAAAAAAAAGTAAAATTATAAAAAATATATACATCATTACAACTTTTAGAGTTTGAACTACAAATCCAATGTTTCTGAAGCAATATATCATTAAAATATATATCATTACAAGTTTTCATAAGAATAAATTTTCATTAGAAGAGTATCCAAAATTCTATCTATGAAAATAAGCCCGATATATCCTACTAACATGTAAATGTGTAAACTTTTACAAAACTTGAAGTCTTCACAAATAAAAAAATTTAGTTGAATTTTATTCAATTTTATTTTATTTTATCGATAAAATATTTAATTTTTACAAATAAATCAGAAAAATTAACTTACTGTTTAAAAATTAAAATTATAATGTACTATCCAATCAAAAATTATTTACGCCAAAATGGTAACGGATATTTTTTCGACAGAAAAACAACAACAAAACTTAACAAGGTAAAATATGTTATTGCTCACACACACACACACACACACACACACACACACACACACACACACACACACACACACACACATATATATATATATATATATATATATATATATATATATATATATATATATATATATATATATATATATATATTATTCAGAAACTGATCTGACTGTTCTTGGTTATCATGATGATAATCCTAAAATAGCACCAGCTCTTCGTCTGCTCCTACGTTAAGGAAAGACTAGGAAACGAAAGTCACCACCTAAAACTTGGTAAAAATACATAGTGTGAGAAAGCAGCTTAGACAATCTGATCAGCCATATGAAAATAGAAAGGGAGAAAATATTTCATGCAAATCTGTAACCAAAAACAAAGACAATTAAAATCTTGTAATTTTAAATACACACAAATTAACAGTGATGAAAAATGAACGCGTATATTTGTTGTTTTTTGGTTTGTGATATGTTACCCAAAAATCAGAGTAATTTAACAAAAGTTTCCCAGGAAACCAGGAAATTCTAACCAGGAAATTCTAGTATACAAGAGGTTGATAATATCCACAGTCAAATTGATAGAGCACTCGCTCATGTTGTCCCCTTGGTCCTGTTGAAATATTCAGTCCCCTTGATTTAATCAGAGCATTTCCTGCTCTTCAAAAAACAAAAAATTTACCAAATGAAGAAATTAAATTTCAAACATTTTTTAGCTTTTGCAGGCTTAATGAGTTTTAAGCTTGTTCCTTATATATAGATAAAGCATCTAGTATTCAGATCATGTATACTACAGAAAATCATGTTATAATGTTTCTTCAAAAGCATAAGTTAGCAATCTACGGCCTTTTAGAATCAAATAGTTGTAAAGTCTTGCGGAAGCAAACCATTATGGAATTTCTTGCGGCATCAAATAATAATAACAGTACTCAGCGTAGTTAAAGATATTGCGGTCAGTCAGTTATTAGTTTAAATATAAGAGATTAAAATACCTTGTCTGCAGAATAAACAGAATGTTTATTAAGAATTTTTTTCTGTTTGCACGAGGTCTTATTGCGCGAGCGCAAGCAATTTTTCAAAATTAATTCAAAACGAAAAAAGCTTATCAAGATATTATCTTTTCAAATATAATTTTAAGTAAAAATATATTTACATAAAATTGTGTCACGCATGTACACATAATTTGCATATATAATTCGACTCGAGCACTAACAATTAGTGCTCTGTGTGTCTTTTAGTAATCAAGTGGCGATGACTCGGGCAATACAAAAAAAAGTCCAAATTCTGACTTTTTTTGACACATTCACAAGGGGGTCGACAACACCGGCGGTTTTCACGTTCTTTTCCCATTGTTTTTCGAGTACCTTTTTAGGACCTCGATTTTTTTTAGTTTTTTTTTTTACTTATAATCACTATTTTTTACTGTTAATAAAGTGTTTAGTGTAACGTGGATTGCACCTTTTAGCATGCTACCAACATATTGCTTGTAAGTGTTGTTAAAGGTGGCATTTGGAAAAACAATATCAAGCGCAGCTTGAGCCGCAGTCTCGACGTTCAAAGTTTTCATTTTCTCATTAGTTTGTTTATGAGTAATACTTTGATATATTTATATATAACAATAATTTTTCCGTATATATAAATATTTATTTAAATTAAATGTATTTATATATGTATATTAATATATTTATTTATTTTTTATTTTTTTTATTACAACATACTATGGTTGTGCATTAAAAAAGAACCGTTTAACAATACAGTAAAAATAAAACCAGTTAAATTATTAGAATAAATGACGTTTAAAAATTAAATTTAAATTTAACCAGATATTTCAAAATATAAAATAACGTTTAACAACATAAACAATATACATAAAACTAAATCTTTCAAAATAAAACAATATATTCAGGAACCACACACTTATCTAAAAGGTATAAACTCATAAGAACTCAAAGATATTATCAATTGACAAGATAACTTTTTTCAACTTAATTTTAAAAGTAAGAAAACTCAAACTTTAGGAAAAATCAAAATTTTTCAAAACTATTTTGTTCCACAGAAGAGCTCCGCGATATGTTAAAAGAGATCTTCCAAAACTTGTATGAGAATAATGTTGATGAATAAGATTGTTATTTCTTGTTTTTTTGTTTTATTGCATATAAATTTTGAAAGGATATAGGGGTTAGGTTTATCTTACATTCGTACATAAATAAAAGAACATTAAAAACATTTTGCTGGTGTATATTAAGAACATTCATTTCCAATAAAAGAGGTCTGGCATGAGTATAACGATCTTTAAAGTTTATTAAACGTGCTATATGCTTCTGTTGCCGATATAGAGGATCTAATTGAATTTTTTTAGCATTACCCCATGCGATATTTGCATAGTTTATATGGCATTGAGTTAGCGAGTGATAAAGTTGAATTAATGAATGTCTATTTACAAAATTTATTATGAATAAAAGTTTTATATATTTTATATAAATAACTTTTTGTTTTTTATTAAAGTATAATAAACTCAAGTAGTTTCTATATACAAACAATAGCTTAGGGGTCGTTCATAAATTACGTCACACACAAGGGGGGGGGGGGAGGTGTTAGTGGTTTTGTGATGATTTGTTACAAGGGGGAGGGGTATTCGATTTTGTGACGCAACAATTTTTTATTTAAATAATGTAAGCATTAGTTGATGATTGTTGTTATAAATATGATAATTGTAAGTTGCTAAATAAATATATGACAGAACTAATTTTTAAATTGTAAGAACGGCTAAGAATTAACAAAATCAAATACTTTGAATAACAGACTACTCTATTTGTCATTAGAAGCAAAAAATCTATTCAAATAAACAAAATTTTGAAAAAAGGGTTGTCCACAAATTATGTCACCCAATTTTCTACCTCTTTGACCCCTTTTCTCTAGTCAAATCATTGTAATTTTTATCACAAAACTGTCATCACAAAACCACAAAATTAATCCCCTCCCCCTCCCCCCCTCCTATATCCCTAAAGCGACGTAATTTCGACGTAATTTCGACGAAAACGGAACGTAATAATAGCCGTATATTCCCCTCCTATAGCCCTATAAGTGACGTAATTTACCTCCCGGTTCGGATAATTTACATTTAATGTTAAAATTATTATATTAAATAATGTAAAGGTTTAATATATTTCATGTAAAAAACTCAAATAAAAAAAAAAAAAATTTTCCGCCTATTCAAAGCAATTTTAATACCCTAACGAGCTAATAGCTCGTTAAAGAATTAAAAATTGTTTTGAATAGGCGGAACCTTCTTAACCGGTGGCTCATTGTGTAGTAATATTTAAAACGTATGCGCTTTTAAAAATCAAATTCTACTTATAATCTTTATACACATATTCAACAAAAGCAATGAAAGTAAAAGAAAAGTTGTTTAACTACTGGTCGTCAGCTGCAACAAAATCCTCAATTTCTCATAACAAAGAAAACAAATCAAATCTTGTTGATGTTGATAAATCAAAATCTTTATTCCACGTAGCCTCTGATTAAATTGACTTTGTAGCAGAACCATCTCAAGTAACCAAATCAAGTACTGCAGATTCAATTGTGCGATGTGTTAAGGCGGAGAGAAAAGTTCAAGATTTACTAAAACAAGAAATTAATTTGATTAATTGAAATTTGATTGGGTTGATGAAGAGAAAAGAATGCGGACAGTTAACATCGGCGCAAGAAAATGAGCTTATAGAAAAGAAGAAGAAAAAAGAACTAGAAAAGAAGAAAAAAGATTCAATGTTGAGAAACCGGAAGATCAGAAGTAATAGGAGGGAAGCAGGGGAGGGAAGCCTTAAAAAAGCTATGCAAATCAACTCCATCAGCAAAAAAGACTCTCCACCTTCAAATGACAAGTGGGCGTCCACGAATTGAAGAAGAAAAACCGGATTTACTAATAACTTTTTGTGACATTACTCTTTATGATTCAGCAGCTCATGAAAAAAGAAGAGATGCTGTTGTTAGAAGTACAAAAACGTTAAGTGAATTGACTGAAACTTTGAAAGAGGTAATTTGTAATTTTGAGAATTAGGACTACCGTGAAAAAATAAATAC